TGTGACACTAGACCCACAGCAATGTGGTCAACTCTTAACTGCCCTCTGGGCAATTAGGGATGGACAATAAATACTGCTTGGCCAGTGAAGCCCTCATCCTGTGAATGTAAAAAGGAAACAACAAAAACACTATCCACACAGCCAAAAAAATTGAACTCTAATCCAATGATTTGACCTCCTAACAATGATGATAACCATAGCTGTGGAAATGTGGTTAGAGACACTAAAAGTTGCAATCTACTAAAGTTACTCCCCTTGTAAGGGTATTAGGCTGAGTGGAATTGAAGAACAGTAGAAGGCCATTTAGTTTATTTTGTTATTGAACTAGATCATGGCTGACCCATACACCCTGACTCTATCCACTATTTAAACCTTTTCAATTTTCACATTTTCAATTGACTGTCAGTCTCAGCAGCATTTTTGGGAGAGACAGTTTGAGGTTTCCAATCCTCTTTGTGTGAAGCAGAGCTTCCTCCCATCACTCCTGAAATGGCCTGGTTCTAATTTGAAGGCCCCTTTGTCCAGAACTGTTCCCACAGAGGAGATAGATTCTCTCTATCCATGCCACCAATGTTTTGACTAACACGGTAGTCAAAGATTATCCAGGGGTGGGTGTGCGGAGTGGGGAGTGGCGTGACGTTAGTTGAGAAAATGGAATCGAGGATACAATCAGACCAGTCATGATTGGCTGAGGAGGCCAAAGGGATCAAATCATCTTTTCTCACTCCTCAGTTCAATGTTTGTAACTCTTAAACACCTTTGTTAAATTAGCCTGCACTGAAGGGAATTCAAGCCTAGTTTATGCATCTTGTCATTCCAACGCAATCCCATTGAGTTCCATTTAGGCCACAAGACTTGGTTCTGGATCTATGTTATGCTGAACTCCCTGATATGTAAAACCAAACCCAGCTGACAGGGCCTCGGTTTAGATTCTGGGCCATACTGTCAGCTCACTTGTACCAATGCAATGTTGGGTGTCATCATAAGTATGTTTTATAAACAGGCATTTCTAAAAAGAGTATAGACCAACAAATGTCTGCTAGTTGCTCTCAGGAACAGTCAAGAGTGGCATTGGTCACATTGTCACTCCCACTCCAGCTGACTGGTCCCTCCCAGTGAAAAATGATCACTTGGTTTGACAGACCAAAGTACGTTGGTACCTAACGTACCCTATCCCTGCTCATGAGTCTAATGCTTTTATAGTGATTTGTCCATCTCTGAATCATAGTGTCATGTTGCAGAGTAGAGGTTATGAAGGACATATGATAGGATGAACAGATCTAGCTCTCTTTTCTCATCGGAAAAGAAGGGTAAGGAGTGATGTGATTGAGGCATTTCGGTTTTTTTTGCTATTTATGGTTTTTTCTCATTTCTTTCTTTAGCCATTTACATTGCTTTTTCAATCAGTTATTTAAACCTCATCTGGACATATCTTTTTGTTCCTTTATCTGTCAGCACAAAAACCTTATATCGTCTCTCCTTTTCTTCCATCCCATCACAGACTTTCCCTTTTGTTCTTCCTCCCTCCTATCACTCACTCAAATCCTACTGCATTTTTTATCTTTCTGATGAAGGGTCACCATTTTAATCAACCTCGAATGTTCTTGATGTGGAGGTGCTGGTGTTGGACTGCAGTGGACACAGCCAAAAGTCACACAACACCAGGTTATAGTCCAACAGGTTTATTTGAAATCAGAGATAGTAGGAACTGCAGATGCTGTAAAATCTGAGATAACAAGGTGTAGAGCTGGATGAACACAGCAGGCCAAGCAGCATCATAGGAGCAGGAAGGCTGATGTTTCGGGCCTAGACCCTTCTGATGAAGGGTCT